CTTCAATTTCCTCCCCCAGTGGGCACGTATTTGCTTTGCATAACTACCGAGATAATTAGACAAGCTCCGCGGTTATGCCCAGATCTGCCACGAGCAGTCGCCCGGGACAAGAAGAACCCGAGGAAAAGAAGAAAAAGAAGAAGTGGACGCGTAAGACCACGCGGCCCGCAAGAAATCCGCGTGTCGTGGCTACCCTCAGCCCCTCTATGTCTTCTAAAAGTGTAAATCATGTCAAGAGACACCACCTCGCGTGCTTCCTTGGCCGGTAATTAGCGGGCTTTGTCACACAGCACAGGAACCAAGTAAAGATTCAATGAAATCAAATTAAATCCATACAATGCGTTTCTTGGAATGCTATATAATTCATTGAAATGTATTGGATATCCCTCCGGAAAATTCGGATTTCAAGCAGTTCGCGACATAACACGTTTCATTAATGACGCGAGAAAGAGGAGGAGAAAACCATTGAAACGATCTCGTGGCCCACGCGAAATCCATCGACGATCTCGCTCCGATTAAAAAACACTGTCGGAACTGAACAGGTGACGAAAATCTCGCGGCAAAAATAAACGAGCGGAAGCGCCGGTGAACGTCGAGAAAATAATTTCGATGAACCTCGTTGATACGTCAGACGACAGGAGGGGAGGGGAGGATTGTAATTAAACACTTCGAAAATGTATTGAAAACACTCGAAAATGATTGAAATCAAACAAGTTACCGGGCGAACAAGAGAAACCTATCTATCCGTCCTCCCCCGATCGCCGATCGATCGAACACGTCCCCGTGTGTGTCAGTTTGAACGAATGATTTCGGACAGGACACGCGTTCGCCCTGTGATACCTGGGCCAACCAGAACTGTTAAATTGCACGTATCGAGAAAGATCGGTCCCGTATTCTCGGCGTAAACTGCAACGACAGCCGGACGGTAACCGATAGTCGATCGCTTATCGAACACGAACATTCGGTTCTATGACGTTTGTCTGCTTTCGTCGCGAGATAATGGAAGTCTTGAGATGCGGTGACACGGATCAAATATAGTCGAGAATCGTTATTTAATTTAAATACCAGTCTCAATACATTAGCTCGTGGAATACTTAATATGGTAATTTTGAATAGATGGTTATTAAACATTGAATATTTAACGAGTTCACTTTAAAGTTTTAAGAATTCATGGATGGGTATATGCATAGACGTTGTCTGTATGTAGCAGAAAATATGGTCACGTCCCGCTGTATGTACAATACATATCGCGATACGATATTCTCTTTTCCATGATCACGTGTGACACGTCCAATATATTGGATACCCATGATTTATAGGTGAGGCGTATCAAACTTTATGCATAGCACCCAGACGGAAAGTTATGTAACCCATTGATAAGGTCGGACACCAGTGTATACTCCTAGTTTTTCGGAAATTCTACTTATTTACAACATGAATAACAACCTCATTACGTAATATCTACAGATGCACATACCTCAAAAATGTTCGTAATCAATATTTAAATGTTTTACAATTAAAGCAACGAATTAATAAATAAAAATCTACGATTAATATAATTCTGTCGCTGATTTTGGTAGCATAAACAGTAGAAAAAAATAGGTTTACACCTGCAATCGACTCGAATGAAGAGATCTCAATGTGTACGATTCAACGTTTAAGGATCCCAATTTATGTGCTGCGAACGGTTATTACGCTGCCGACAATTATTTTGATAGCGACTCATTAGATAAGCTGCCATAACCGTAATCTGATACGTAACTACCATGGAACAGTTGGTGCAGTCACGCATATGGAGCTATAACCTGCCACCCTTACTTCGCGAAACAGCGCCTCGGTGTATATTACAATTACATATATTGAAACGTTAATAACACAGAAAGAACTAAAATTTTTATCGTACCTAAGAAAAAGGAGACGATAAAAAAAACATAATTAAATTGTCGAGTTAATAACAACTTTCGAAGATATCGCGTGCAGGTAGTATCTATTGGACAGCTCGAACTTATTAAAAAGGACTCGTACAATAATTTTGGATTAGCTCGGAACTTCTTTAATTATGAGGCGTAAAATATTGTTCGAACTAATTTCCAAAGGCTTAACGCTAGAGCCCCGGTCCCTTAAACAACATATTTTACGCGAACCAATGCTAAGCTTCTATTCTGTTCAGAAAGGGGCTGCGTCTCTAAACGGTGTGACTTACTGATCCTAGTTTATTAACAGGATTTTTATCATCATATTTCTTTAGGAAACCTCTTCCCCATGAGAATAAACTACTTTCACGCGTTAACGTTGACAGTAATTTTAGTAGAAACGAAAATAAATCGACTTAAACATTTTAGTTAACAAAGAAAATTTGTAGAGTTATAAAAAAGTTCCTTGTGAGAGTTTCTACTTCATCCCCACCACTGGGTAGGGGGAGGCTGTGAAACTATTGTTGCTGAGAGTCAAGGTTCGGGCAAACAACAGATTTGTGAGGTGTTGAAACGATTGTAAAAGTTTTCAAACAGACCAGAGTTTCCAACTCTCATGAAATCTTTACTGTACAAAAAATAACCTTCAGAGCAATGGTATCGTGTAAGGGGACAACTGATAAACGGGCAGGAGAAGTCCACCAGCAAGAAAACAATATCAACGAGGCTTCCCTATATCGTGTGGAATTTCCCATCAAACCGTGTGTCGCTCTTCCATCTACCCTTATTGTCCCAACGCGGGATGACATTTGCGCTTCGTTTCTGACCGTAATTATGCAGCTGCGTCGACGACAGACGGACCATTCCGTTCGGCTCGGTGGCCACAATAATTGGCATCGGTCGACGGCTGCAGAGTAGCGGCCGGTGGCGACACACTTCGATACTTCTCATCCGTCCATTCATTAAGATCGCTTTCATATGTGGCAATCCCGCGATGATTGTTTCCGTGCCCGAAGCGACTCAATTAACGACGCGGCCAGACGCAGCCAGACACGTACAAAGAGAGAGAAAGAGAGAGAAAAGAGATCAGCATGTAGACATACGTGTGCAACAGAAAACTCAGTTGAAGCAGTCGAGATGGATCGAGGAAAGAGAAAGACAAGATAATTCTCATTGTTCGAGGAACGTCCCTCGAGGCGTCACCGGCACTTCAAAGCCGGTTCGGCTTCTGTCGGGAGCTCTCATCGAAACAGAGTCCGGCAGTTAATGAACTGCCCTTCGGCGTTGCAATGTACTGGGGCCTGGTAGCCGAACCGACCGTCTAGGAACCCGGCCAAGTGCTGGGCGAGACCCATTATCCATTTACATAAAGGACCACAACTACCCCGCTAAGGGTTTACATTGCTCGCTTAACCCCTCACCAGCCGTTCGGGGAGAATTTCCGTCGCCTGCCGTCGGATTGCTGGACAACAGAGCACTTTTGACTGAGGTTCAACGCCATTTTCTCAGGGGGGTGGGGGGTGCTCGTTGATTACAGTTTCTGGTTTTTCGCTCTGAATCACGATCATCGGTCGGCTGGTTGGGGCCGCGGCGGCGCGTGTTCTGTTGCATTTTTTTTTATTCGAAGTTCTCGCCGAACGACGAGGGATATAAATTGTCGGGCGTGTAACGGTGACCTGGATTCGTGGCTATTGTTTCGGAAGTGGTTTTGTTTTTTTCTTTTTTTTTTTCACGGGAATTGGAGAAAGGCGCGTTCGCGGATACCGGGAGTAGTCGATGGGCAGCGTTTCGAGCGTTAAGATCAGGGAGGCGGAATTGGGTGGTGAATATGTTAGTTGTCGGAATAATTCATAGTGACGGAAATACGAATAGAAGTCGGCCTCTGTAGCTCGTCGAGCGATCGATTCGTCTTGTCGCGTATGAATTGTGTAGAGAAATTGAGTATCGGTAAAATGTTCGTGGACTTGTTTTTACGAATCTTTTCGATTATAACGGTGTTTGAGGATTATGCTTGAAGTGATAGTGTTCGATACACGGATGTTTTTTCTTTCTCGGAAGTCGCATAAAAGTGGACTCTAATGAAAACCGAAATGAAAAAAATGATTAAAACGCGAAATATCATTTTTTGGGATCTATTAGCTGTGGAACATTTCATAACTTCTTATTGACCCGCTCACTAATTTATTTAGTATTCTGTACCAAAACTTTTTTTTCATAAAATTAAGAACCAATAATCATTTTAAGACTATGGAGAGTATTAAAATAAATTTTTATCAAGAAGTGTTCCAGATATTGTCACTAAAGTGATAAAGTAAGGCGTTTACTGTAGTGGACAAACGCAGTTAGCGAGTTAAAGAACTAGTATATTGAATACAGTAGTATCTTCCACAAACTATGTTCAAAACACCCCGAAGCACATTCAAACGTCCAATAAATCGAATACTGATACTGAATTCGAGATCAGTCATCCAGATATCTCTCCAATGAATCAGTTCCCGATAATTCAATCCATTTATCAGTCTACTTATCATTTCAGCGTCAACACTGCTCTATCATACTGATTTACAATACAGTATCGCAATAGATCAACAGAAATTTCAATTTCTACCTTTACCGTTAACCACAAATATCTTCCCAGGCAATTTCTCTCATACAAAACCATTCAAAACCAACTTTCCTCCCTATTAAAATATCAAATCCACCCACAGCACTAACCACAAATATCTCCCTACAAAATCCCTCTCATCCAAAACCATTAATACAAACATCCTTCAAAGTCTACAAAAAGATCCTCATAAAAAACAACCCCTAAAAGCGCAAGCACCAGCCGACAAGGTCGCACAATGGGGGATAAAAAGACAGAGACATCAAGACCACGTGAGCTCCGTCCAGTCGTCTGGCTCGAGTGGCGACATCTCTGACGTCCCTGAACGTTCGCGTTCGACGATCGTCGCACACACGTCAACGTACCTTCGCGTCGCTCCAGCCCTTGAAATTATCCGCGGATACCTCGACGACCGCGTTCGACGACGCATAACCAACAACGGAACGCGACACGCGACAGCAGAAGTAAAACTGTGAACTTACCTGAACCATTGATGTGTGTTGACACGCGAGACAGACCTCCCCGCTTGGCGGCAGTCTGATGGCGAAATCAGTCCGTGCCAACGCCTGTCGTTGGCCCCGCGGCTCGTGCATTCAACATCAGGGCTGTTCCACGTACACACAACACTGATGCACGCACGAAACCCGACGAACGTCACACAACGCAACCACCTAAAGCCCCTGTCGTACTGTTTACGAGCGCGACCGCGACCACGACCACGTCCACGACCACGACCACGCCCACTAGCACCCTTGGGGGACTTCTCCACACGCAACGCGTCTGGGGAATTCTGGATTCTCGGTACAAAAAATGCGCGCGTTTTGTTTACACCTATGCCGAATCGGTGGCAGTCCACGGGGAACTACGTTATCCTCGCCGCCAGAGGCGCTGCTGTGTTCGACCACGGACGCGCAGCCGCCGTCGACCGCACGAGAATCGATTATTGCCGACCGCTCGTCCACGGTCAATCTTAATCCAGCCATTATAAATCCAACGAGAGATACGCCGCTAATTTCTGCACACAGTGGCGAACGAGATACTTTGCTCTACCGGGGGTAAGAACTTCTGCGAGTTTTAGGGATCACGGACATTTGGTTAAAATTGGCACCCTAAAGGGGGTGGTTGATCGAGCCTGAAGTATATTCTACTCTCTGGCCGGAAAATTAGAGCCACTCGTAAGTTTTCAAATTTTTCGCGGTTTGTTGAGGTTATCCTTTATAATATGTAACTTATATAAAGGTATATATAAAGATTCACCAATTGCCAAAAGGTAATTGATTGTGCGTATTAGGATTCCTATATAAAGTTGTACAATTGTATACAGATTGAGTTTTTTAATTGTTTCATATAGGTATGTAATATTTATAGGAATACTTTGTACTATTTTAATAAGTTATGTATTATCACACCCTAGACACATTTTTTTAAATAGGGACTCATCTCATTTATAAACTACATATCAATTTTTAGCTTTTTGCAGCTTTTCAATTCTATGATTAACCACCTTAAAGATATTTATCATTCTTATGCTCAGAGAGGTTATGACTAACGTAGACATTGTTATAAGTTTATCTGTTTAAATAATTAATAACGAACAATTGAACAGTGTGTATATCCAGCCCACCCTGCATATAGCTACGTCGAACACGTAATCTACGTAATTAGAGCTCGCTTAATGTATACCGGGAAATTTAGCCGTCTATAATCACGAACGCTACCATAAACGAGCTTCCATCACAGACGATATATAAGAATAGACCTAACATGCAACGTAATTTTCTATAAATTAAAATCTCTGTAAATAACAATCAAAAAAATTCAAACATTCTATTAAGTTTGCTCCATTAAATAAAACAACTTTTATATAAAACATTTTCTCGTATTCGTAACACAAAATACTTACTAATCGTCACAAATAATACATATCACAAAAAAATAACAATCACAAAGCTTCGAAATAATTAATAATCGTCACTAACTACTTTCAGTGAAATTTTCCGTCGAATCCCGTTTGAACTTCCATCCAACCGGCGCACCGTAACATTTAAACCGCATGGAAACTGGCGGACAGGTGTTATCGTATTCGTTGAACGTCCTAAGATAACACGCTAAAACTCGATAACAACTGGCCGCGCCCGTGGAAATTAAATAGCCGCGTCCAGAGTCCAACTTCTGACTGTTGCTGCTTGTCCCTTGCATCCACCAAAAATTCCACGGCAGATCATCACGGAACATCGGAAATTCAATGAGTACCCAGTCCAAAATTTGTATTTATAATAACTAGACTGGTTACTTATTCATGAGGGCGCCTACGGATACCCTAACGCTAAACGAGAACAAGAAGTAGTGGGGAGGCGAGATAGTCAGGCAGTTCTTGATCCCTGAGACTTTTAAATTCTTTCCCCGTGGATAATCCGACGGATGATCGCGGATAAAAATGGTCTCCGCCGGTTATGTCCGTCTCGTGAGCCCCCTCGACGCGACTTAAAGCTCTTGGCAGAACGCTAGGGACTTGCTCCGCGCTCTCAAGATGTTAAAAACCGTTGAATAATTTCGTGAGGTTGCCTGGACCCCGCCACTGTGCATTCCCTGGCGTGTCGTGCAGTGTGTCCGTATGAATGGAAAATTGTGCGTTGTCATTGCGTCGCTGGCCAACCGTTCACCGTCTCAAGCAACCGGTTGACGAGCAGACCTGGGACATCTCCAAGAGGATCCCAAGATAACATTCTCTGAATAAGTAACCCCGATGGAAATAAGTTTAAATATTTCATCGTTCGACTAATCTCGAGGGTGCAAGACGAACAGCCTTGTCCAGAAGCCCTCGCAGATACGATAGCCAGGGACCGAGAAAAACGATTGGATCCTCGACTCCAAGCGCAGGGCGGGAGAAGGGCAAGAAACTTGGACCGGCTGCTGGAAAAAGACGGTGACTGGAGAAACGTAAATGTGAACGGAGGTCGATTTATGCAAACGATTCGACAACCGTTTTAAATATTCAGTATTCCCTCCGTTTTCCACGGGCATGTAAATTAACGGCTGATTGAAGTAATTGATGATTTGTGCGACACTCGCGTTAGCAAAGAATATTGGCGCCATTGTAAATCGATGCACATTTGCTTGTTTCTGTTTTACGTGTGAACAATACTTTCTGAATCGATTACGTAAGATCAGTGTTGTATTGTCATTAATGGCACGAAATCCAAGCTGTTAAAAATACTAGAATATATATATTTAAACAATCTTTAAAAATTGTGTACAAGAAATATGACCGTCAAAATAAGCCAGAATCCTGGTAGATCGCTAAGATCCCCATGTAGAATTTATAATATTTTGGTCTGTCCAACTTTCCTCGATAATTTTTATATTTATTCACTATGGAACACGGTCGGTATGTACCTTGTTTGTTTCTAATATTCTACTGTTTTACATGCCGAAACAGTTACAAATACACGTCGCGTAAACAGCTTCTTCGCATGAGGACTAAATTATGCACGGAATCATTCGCAATACAGTCAAGGGCATCGTACTTGGCTCATAATACGGTCCACCATCTCCTTTTCATGAAGGTGACGTTGCCTCAGGGACTCCAAATATGAATCTTCGATGTTATCGCGCGAGTTCAACGACGAGCCGAAGCTCGACGTTCCTCCGAATTTTTTCGACTGCGAGGACATTTTGCCGACGTCGGTTTCTCGCCTGGAATACTTGCCACAATTTCCGCCTGCGTTTTTCCGAACGGCATCGTGCTCCTCGAATATCGTCGAAGATGTCGACTCACCTTCCGGCTGAAACGATATACACCGTATCCGTAAAATTAATCCTTAAAAATCTACAAAAAAAAGACCCTACAAAGGTAGATGGAAAAAGAGGAAAAAAATACCAGAAGAATATAGAGAAAGTCTTTTTGCACGGTAGGAAACGTTTGTTCTCTTTGACAATTCATACGAATCTCTACGATGAAGCTATCATTGACGGCCCAGCAACATTCGAGACGGGCTCGAAGGCAACAGGAACGGTGAAGGTAGTTGAAAAGTGTATCAGAAAATACTGGGAAAATCCACTTTTCGGACAACCGTGCAGTAGGACACGCCAAGGAACGGATGATCGTCGAGCGTTTGTGAGAGACGGGTAAAGAACTCTTGATTTACCTTTGCGTCGACTTCCTTATCCTTCAAAGGAGGCAGAAAGCATTTTCGAGAGACGCTGTGCTTCGACTGTGAACACAAAAGGACTTCGATGGCTGAAGAAGAGTCCTCCTTCTACGAAACAATTCGCAAAAATACACATACACTATTTAAAAACAAAAATCGTTAATCAACGAAACAACCGAAACTCTAGAGACACCTTGACCGAAAAGATAAAAGGCTTTAATAAACATCCCTTCAACCGAGAACTCTCAATCCCGTTTGTTTCCATCCCCCTACCTCGAAAAGTCGCACGCGACGCATCTCTGAAGCACCGGAGATTATTTCGAAATAGTTTCCCCCAAAAATTTCCCGTGACAGGAATCCCGTGAAAGCCATTCCCGAATTCCTTTGTAAATTGTTTTGCGGCGACCTGGTGCATCGACGCAAGCGGCCGAACAAAGAAACTTCCGTACGAAGAGGGGACGACGGGGATGAAGGGAGTGGCAAATATGCATAAAGGGCGTAACTCGTTGAAATTCAGGCTGCGATTATCGATACCAAGGGAGGAGAACTGATGAGGATACAAACGGAAGAGGAGGAGAGGCTAGGGAGGATAGAGAGCCACTCTCTCGCGAGGACGAAAGTAAGGAAAATCTAATTCCGTAGACGGTAGGCGAGTCACGGGACCAGGATCCCTCCCCCTCGCTCTTCTTGGGTACGTTGTAACCCAGGTTTATCCACGTGTAGAGAATTTCTGTTTCCTTCTCTCTCCCGCCCTTCGTATCCTCAATTCCTGCCTGTCCTTGCGGTGGTTGCGGCCTGCAGTCCACGCTTTGTGCATATAATTGGATTTAGGTTCGGATACCGGTCTCTCTACTTCGCCCCCGAACCGTGTCCCGACCCTAGGTCCTTTTCCTGCGTTCCCTCTCTCGCGTCTTATGATTAGATCTGATCCCGACCCTTGACGGTTAAGGGACCAACTTTCCATATCGCGCCACACCACGGACCGACGCGTGATCAGGGGAGAGTAATTACTAAACTGTGAAGTGCGTGTCTACCTGTACTGTGTTTCTTCGCGAGATGTCACGGAATTATCGGAGCCACGTTTACGATGAGGGATCATTTGGATGGACTGAACCTACTGATCTGTATAGATACGTATTCAACACATTTTTACTCTCCTCAAACGTACAGAATACTGTGCTGCTTAATGCTTTCACGTAAAAAATAATTTTAAGGGCTCAACGACGAGATGCTACCAAGCTGATGAGGCCATAACGAAGGAAGGTATATAAAAACATCGTGAAGCGAAGATGAAACCCGATGGCAAATAGGTGAAGAAAAAAAACGATGATTCGCTGGGCATTGTTAACGAGTAAGTGGTACGTACGTAATTAATTTCATTTATAAATCTTCCGACAGACCATTACAGAAGCTTGACTTTTCGCGCGCTCGCTGGGAACGAGTAAAACGAACCAGTTCTGCGTCGCGAATGCTTCTTTGCATCCCCTAATTGGCAATTAAGTATCGACCGTAACGCGACCGAATGCCGGACGACGGTAATTCGTCATACCTACCGCGCTCGCGGCTTTTCGTTCATTTTTCTTTATTTCTTTTCTTTTCTATTCGCCGTGGTATTATATTATATAGTTCCCAGAGACCCGGCACTTGATTCCGATTCACGCGAACGGCGAACACTAACGATTATCCGAGCCGGCGTTTTAACGAATTCACGCTGCATCCCGGGATCAGAGGGAACTTTTACCGTTGCGATCCCGGGGGATTCCCGACGGATTTTACAAAGTTGTTACAAATTGAAATTGCTTTCCGGCACTATCTGTATCAAAATTTTTGGTGGTTTCTCGTTCGGGTAACGCTTTCCCATTCGAAGATTTTCTTGGAATCTCGGGATAGACCAAGTGGAGCTAAGTAGTAGCTCCAAATCCACGAACCTCCAATTGTGCATATATTTTATGCAATTGGTATTGTTTCTCGAAAAATGATTACCGGTATTATTACCAATCCTTATTATGTATTTCATAAACGGAAATACCGAAAATCCTTAATACCTGACTCTAAAAAAGTGATCGACTACTCGAGACTACCGGAACACTTAAACACCTTTACCTGTACCATTTAATTACACCTTCGCTCGAAATCCAGCTAAACCAGTGTAGTGCTGAAGCAGAAATAATTTCTGACACGGATCCGCCTAAAAAGCTGCATGCAATTAGCCTTGTTCCAGCACATATCAAACAGTTGCGCTACCCAGCCGTATAAAAAAAGGAAACAAAATTCCCCAACGACCTCGAGATCCACATTAAAAACCCTCGACAAAATAATTAGCTGGTAAGCACAAGTGGAGCATTCAACGAGGAGCCCCGCCCCTTACATCCCTCCCTCTATGTTTGTTTTTTTCTGTCGGTTACCTGTCTCCGCCAAAGTATCACCGAACTGTTTCGCTAAAAACTCCAGCGCGCAGCGTATAGCTCGCCCGAGGGGTGAGGCTGTGGGGTGGTGCATCAAAAACCAGGGGGTGTGGCGTGACACGTACCTTGAGCTTCTGCGCCTGCAGCACTATCCGCTGGCGATTATGCGCGCTAACAGAGTTCCCGTATGACCTTCGTCGCATTAGCCACTCTCTCTGTAACAACAAACAATCCCTGAAGCCTGGCATCGCTCCGATGCAACTTCCGCAGACTAAACAAACGGGGGAGAGGGATGGTTTCACGCGTGGACCGCCGCGGGCTTTATTCGCTTTTCACGAAAGCCCAGCGACGCCCTTTACCCGTGTCACTTCCTCCCGCCTCGAGTTTCCAGTATCACAAATACGTATACTTAGTGGAAGAGCTTTAATGAATACGAACCTTAACTGATTTTATAACTGGACTCCAGATACTCGATAACCCTCGTTTCAGGAGTCGTGGGGCTGTCCGTCCCCGTTAAAAGTACAGTAAGATCGATCGATCGAGCTACATCGAAAATCGTCGAGTACCGACGACTGACTCTCTCTACCCCCGGCCGAATCCGGCGCAAAGTAGATTATGCAAATGCTTCTCGGAAGAGGACGACGCGAAGTAGAGGGCGCCAGAGAAAAGAATGAGCCAGGGAGGAAGAGTGGAGGATACAGAGGGTGGAAGAAGTGGAAAGGAAGAACAAAAGGACACGGAGGTACAATAAGGACTTAGAAAACTCTAATTTTTTTCAAATGTTTCAAGAGGGCAAGAAAAATGGATTCTATTACGTATAATAACTTTCTAATGGCAATTATTATACGTAACTGTAATAGAAGTTAAAAAACGATCCTAATGGCACCGAATGAAAAATGGTTACTAAACTCTTTCAAAACATTTTTTCTCGAAAGTGTCAAATAATTTGGGAACGAAAAGGTTAAGAGATGCTATAAATGCATAAACATCCGCAAAGGGTCGAACGTTCGAGGCCTCGTAGACTTCGTTTTACTTGAAATAATTTAAAAGATGAATAATTCGAGTACTCGTACACCTTTACAATGAACCAACGAATGACCTAACCCATCTATTTTCTCCGTTACCATTTTCTTCACTTCTTCACCACACCCTCTTCTCTACCTTTGTTTCCCTCCATCCTCTGTGCCCGTTTTTCTTCGTTTCTCCCGCCTCTGCCACGCGTCCTGTCACTCCACCACGAAACCGCACCGTTAATGCACGTTCGTATAGTTAACATCATGGCGAGTTAAACCGCGGGCAATATTAATACAACCTCTCAAGAGTCAGTATAATTATGGGCATTATGGTGCACCTCTGTCGCGTCCCCTACCCTCCACGCACGGCCCCCGTGTTTCATTTAAACTGTCTGCGACGGCGCGTCCACTGGGAGAGGGTAGCAAAATTTATTCCCGTATATCGGTGCACGCTTATCCGCGCTCGCAACCGAGTTACTCGGTAATCCCGCATAATAGCGAGAGAATCTACGACAAATACGCCGCGGCTGTAAGAAACGTATTTGGGATAAAGTCCGTATTTTTCTCTGTGTAGCGAGTTACGAAGCTTCTTCCATCGTCTGAGTCGCGAGGGTACGTGCGCCTTGCCCATCGTTTACTTTTCCGAATAACATGGCCGACTTGGAATTCCAAGTTGCTCCCCGCTGTGAGTTTCTCACTCCTTATTGATTGCACCAAGCAAGTTAAATCCAGATAGCACATAACGCCCAATGACGCCTTGAAGACGGCTTAAGGACGCCTTAAAGACGGCTTAAGGACCCGCAATATTTTCAAACCTATATTAAAAAATTACATTTTTGCCAATTTTATGACTTAAATGTAATATTGAGGGAGAAGGTGACACTATTAATTACGGCACCGGGCGACACCAATGTTAGGAACGTCACTGCTTTTGGCTAGTAATATATGTGTTGTACGATGTCGCAGAATGTCACGAAGAGTTAAACTACCGGATTCAGAGCATATTTCTGTGCATTTAACTCAACAGCAGGGTGCAAAGAATTCCTCGAAACAGCGCCGCTTAAGTGCGCCACCCCCCGATTAGTTTACTCGATAAAACGTTTAAGTGAACAACATCGTAACTGTAAGCTTACAAGTCCGGGCGATTCTCCAAACGACTTTTCTAAATTTCCGTGGTAGGAACCCCCTCGACTACGTGACACCCCGAGAAACACGCGAGGAAACGAGGAACCGTCGCAGCTTCCGGTTTTCGATTAAAGAGAAAGGGTGTCCAGATGGGCGGAGCTCGATGAACCAACGGCGTCGCGCTGAGATGTCCCCCGTGAAATTTTAATCTCCAATCCGGTAAAATCGTTTCCGTGATAACGAATCGAGCGAACGGAATCGTCTCCGTTTCCTCGGGAACGCCGGATACGTGTCTATGGGATCGCGCGCGTTAGCCAAACGAGGAGAAACGGGACCGTTTCCAGGCACCGATTTTGAAAAATTCACAGACCGCCCAGATTCGACCCTGGAGTATTTAGCTCAAACGTTCCTGGAATTCACCGTGTTTCTAGAGTATGACAGCGACAACTATTTTCTGCGTCGCGAACCATGATGGGCGCGCAGCCCAGAATGCTTTGTCTGGGAAGAACGGCATTTCGAACGACCTTCCAAGGACAATTTGGCGATCTCACAACCACGTCAAGCTCGACGATGAATTCTCAGATACAGTATTCGGTTTTTCCGAAGACGTTCAATCGATTCAAATTGACTGAAAAGTGCAATTGAACTTTCGTGCAGAAATGTCGGATATATGCATACAGTGGGAAAATAATAATATATCTAAAACTTCGTTTCCTAAAAATATCTGTGACATAGTAGTTCTACCACTTAGAAACCCGAGAAATGTGAATAAAGGATAGAAGGTTACAGTAATACGATCGAAGACCCGTTGAGTAATGTTCGAAAGTTGTGTACTTTTGCGGAATACGAGAGGACGAAGAAGAAGCAAATTCTTGGCGATCGATGAATTGGAAAAATTTTATCCACATGTCCTCCCGTAACGGTCACAGTAAGTGGAAAATGATAAGGTGGCTCCTACGAAACGGCCTCATGTTTATTAGATTGAAGTTAGGAAGACGTGCGACAAGCTAACTCGGTTTAGGTCTTCCGTGAAATTGTAAACTGCGACGGGTCCGACGGCAGCGAAGTTTCTTCTACTTCGCTTTCTCAGCACCGGCGGGGTAACTTCCGGCGGGACAAGGAAACAGAATTGCCGAGACATCTCTGTTCGAACTTTTGGTAACTCGACTATAAACCCACGCCGCTCGTCCCCGAATCATCAAAAGTGCAATGCATGTTTTATGCATACGAATGCATGCGTCGGGGCTTCTATATTCAATTCACGAGTACCGAAATCGCGAAATCAACCGGTGTGACAAGGGTTTATAATTCGAATCTCGCGACTTTATCGTCGTTGTACAAAGTCGAAAGCTCCGTTTTCGAGAAAATCACCTGCAAAAATTTAGCTCGTATGCCTGCGTTCTTGATTGCAGGGAAAACAGAGGTTAAGTAGAAACGGTCATCGATGAGCAGACGTGTCAGCAGAGCCCGGACTCTGTAGCAGAATGCAATAGGACTAATGATACAACGGAGCAGGAAAAAATTTTTCAGAACGTTGTTACCGTACATTTTACATACAGATACATACTAAACAATAATTCTGCATATACAAAAAAATTTTTCAACGTTCCCTCTTATTTAACAGCTCAAAGGTATCTAACCCCTTAAGTATGCAGCCGGCCAGTGCCACGTTCAACCGAGACTAGAAAGAAAGAAAGAAATACCAAAGAGGAGAATGGTACACGAACCCACCTTCGCTTGCATCTCGACTTTATCGGGCCCGAGAGATCGATCGAGCTTCGGTATCGGCAAGGTCTTGTACTCCTCGATGGTGTACGGCCGGTATCCGAGGATCCTCGATTTATCGTCGGCGGTCGGGTCCTGCTTAACCCTGCCCAGGGTACGGGCGACGTTCGTGTCTTCTGACACGTGTTGATGCAAGGGAACGGGAGATCGTGCGGTGATCGTGGCCGTGGGATCGGCGGATCCCTCGATTACACGCCGGTAAAAACTCAGCTCGCTACGATCGTCCCTTGGGGTACCCGGTAAACACGTATCCTCGTCGGTGAGCTGTTCTTGTTGGCTGTCTCCGAAAACCGACAAGGTGGAACCCTCCGGGGATCGAATGTTACGCCTTGGTCCACCTGCGAGCAACGAGAAAACAGTAGCGATGCATCCTGTTCCCGCGGCCCTCTTTCGACGAGGGAAAGGGCGTGACTCGCTTCGGAATTGGTTTCCTCGATCACGCGCGACGAAACCGTGTTACTTCGGAATCGTATATGATTGGTCGGACCGAAAGCTGGCATGTACGTAGATGATGTATAGAGTTAATGTTTCTGGGAACGTGGATTTTGGTAAAACTACTGGGGGTTATTCTAGTCGATTACTGATGAGGGTTAATCTTCAAATGACCTTCGGAGATATGCTTTTTGAAGAACTCCTCTGAATTTTTCTTTTCATTAGTTATAACATTACACTAACTAAAATACGTTGTCCAATTTAAAAACAACGACGATGGCCATGAAATATTGCAAACTATATCCTTGAGGAAAAATATCTTCTCTATCAAAATAATTGTCCCACAAAAGCAAACATTTTTTCCTACCCACATTGTTTCGTATCGTTCAAAACAACGGAGATATTTCAGGTGAAAATCTTAAGTGACTCACCCATGTAGGAGGTACGCACAGATTCGTCATGAAAGTCACTAAACTACATCAATCCCCCTCCCCGAAAATGCAAACGGAGAAGACCATATTTATAACCTAAATTTGTACATTAATCAGAGTCTCAAGCGGTCTATTTTGAAGATTGTTCGTGTCGCAGTAACGAAGAAGCTGATAGGCTCGACCAGTCGCCCCGAGGCTAGTGTCCAACCCCTCAAATCCCTATGGGGTATCAGACCCTACCAACCGAGAAGCAATCTCGAGCCCCAACCTGCGTCCAACATTTTAAAAATCGTCCTCCTTCAGAGAGGGATCCTTTTTCTAGTTGAAGGTAGCCGGTAGACGCGGGTCGATTTCAAATTACAGAAAGACTCGAC